CAGAGAGAGACAGAGACAGAGAAAGAGAAAGAGAGATAGAGAGAGACAGAAAGACTGAGACAGAGACTCGGAGAGAGACAAAGAAACAAAGAGACAAAGACAGAGAGACAGAGACAAAGACAGACAGACAGAAAGAAAGAGAGACAGAAAGACTGAGAGACAAACAGAGAGAATGGACAGAGGGAAGAAGAAAAGTAAAATTAGAGGCTAAGAAACACAAATGCATGTATCGTCAACATAACTCTTGCAAATGAATGAGCAGGATGGAGAGAGAAAAGAAGTTCAATTTACACACTGTCGACGGGAATGTAAATTAGCAGAGTCATTACAGAAAATAACAGGAAGATTTATCAAAAACTTAAAGGCAGAACTCTGGTTATGGTACTCCTGGGCTCTACCAAGAAAATAAGGGCAGCATGCAAAAGAAAGAAAGAAAGAAAGAAAGAAAGAAAGAAAGAAAGAAAGAAAGAAAGAAAGAAAGAAAGAGAAAGAGAGAGAAAAAAGAAAGAAAGGAAGGAAGGAAGGAAGAAAGAAAGTAACACTAGCTCTACAGTAGCTAAGCTATGTACTCGTCAGAAGATGAATGAATGAAGAAAATTTGGTCTGTATACAAATGAGTATTCTTAAGCCATAAAGAAGAATGAAATCCTATCATTTCTAACAAAATGAGCAGAACTGGAGAATGTCACATTAATCAAATGAAATAAGCCCCCCCAACAGCAGCAAAAACCCTTTCCTCTCATATGCAACAAACAAGCATGACGGAGGGTAGAAGTGGAATTCCTAGGGGCCCGCAAGAGTGCTTCGGGCCCAGGGGAGAAGGGAAGTATGAGTATTCACCGCACCAGGTATGCATATAAAATATGTAGCACAGTGAATCACATTAGGCTGTACAACTTGAATGTTTTTGTAATCAGAATTAAGAGGCCATTTGAAAATCAGCACATTATGAAGATAATCTGTTATTTCTAATGAGAGGGCTTCGAAACACTTAGTGTGGCATTATTTAACCGCTCCAATGTAGATGAGTACTAAGTATATTACTTACCATAAAGCCAAGTGGGTGCTAAGATGATGAATAATTTATAGTAAGGTGAGTCTTTGCCAGGAATGAAAAGCAAACTCTCTTCTCCTACGGCCAGTTTTTAAAAACTGCTTCTTAGTTGACAAATGTTGTTATTGACACAGGCAGCAAGCTACCCGTCTGTCTTTGAAAAAAAACGTTACTGAGCATTAAGATCATTTGATAGGTCATATTGGGGTAGGGACATCCTGTATGAGGTTTACACAGCACAGACATTGAGGAACTGAGACAATTTAAACAATGGCAGGATGCTCAGATGAGCTAGTGCATCTTTAACGTGGAACTTTTAGTTTGTATTTTATTTTATTTTAGTCCATTTTCATCTATCACTGTAATGGGGTTCTGTTACATAAATTTTGGATAAGTTTACTATTCATTTTTATAAAGTATTATTTAAAGTACACAGAGAACAGTCTATGTAGCAAATAAGAACAAACATGCCAAGATTTAGTTATGTTACCAAAATCACATTTAAGTAATTTATTTAGGATTTTTTCATAATTTTCCACAGATTGTTCTTCAGCCATTAATTGAGATATACATTAATAGAAAAAATTATGACATGAGAACTAAGAATTTTAATGTCACTGAAACATGGTTAATAAGGCAGTATAGACATTAAAATGTTATTTTTGAAAAATCAACATTTCAAATTACTGCTAGGAGAAGGCATGTTTTGATCAAATTAGGATTTGTTTTGTTTTCTCTATAGTCCAGTCTCCCAGAACAAGAAAACTACCCTAAAAATTATATTATAGTGAGGCTTTTTATACAGGAAATGACGAAAATCTTAATGAAAAACACTAGACTTTGAAATACTTGGTTAAGCTGTTATGTGCCACGTCTCTCCAAAGTGACTATTACTTTTCCTTTCCATTGTCTAGTTTTGAAAGTCAGGCACTAAATTCAGTGTGTCATCCAATACATTGTGGTGATATATGGATATATAGACGTGTGTGTGTGTGTGTGTGTGTGTGTGTGTGTGTGTGTGTATATATACATAATTTTCAAATTCTAACTTAAGGAACACAGAAGGGAAGGTGTGACCACATTTTTCTGTGAAATTTGTGCAGATGAAAACTGAAGTCTTCATTGATTTTGGCCCAGTGAAAATCAGGGTTTACATGGGAATAAGAGTTGCAAGTTAATTTCAAGGACAAAATCTAGAGGAGTGGGAAGACTGTAGGTAGCAAACAACAATTAAAGTCAGCCCAGGTGAACACCTCTTTAGAGACACGTACCTAGGTGGAGGGACAGCAAAAACACTGTATCCCAAGACCTACATGGCAATGCTATAATACATTTTATGTTCATAACATTGTGTCCTGGTCCCTGGATTCTCAATTTTAGTCTGGTGTTTTAGTGGCTTAAGTTATTGGAAAATAAAACTCTTTGAACAGTCAACTTTATGAACTTTATTTCATTTTAATCACAAACATATAGAAATTCACAGAATTAGCATAGATCATTTGTTAATTGTAATCCTTTGTATGAAAGATTTCTGTAAAAATAAGAAACAGATCCAGAAAGAAGGGATCTTTACTGTTTGGCAGCTACTGCATCTGTGATTCCCCTTGGAGTGCAGGTCAAGGCTAAGCGGCAGGTGTGGTCCTGCTCCGCGTAGTCCTACTTGCGTGCACTGGGAGTCAAAAAGATTTTGCCCTCACACTTGCAGGAGGCCATGCAGTGGTCCTTGACCAACGGAAAATTGCAGGTCAGTTGTTTCTTCAAGTCTGCACAGTTGTAATATTCGTCTTGGTACTCACAACTATTGGCTGAAATAAAAACGAAAGTCTCTTCATTCCCTCTGTTCTCGGTCGCAGCCACAGGAACAGCAGATTCACTAGGAATGGGGAACAGGCTAAGCACTCAGGCAGGCGTTGTTACGCCATGAGGCCAATCCCATACCTCGGCGAACACGGACGCTCCCTTTGCTAAACCCACTGAGTGATCTAGTGACTCCTTTCAACCTTGAGTTTTTGAACTGTTGCTAAGATGCATGATGTCACTTTCTTCTCTAAGACAGTTGAGCATAATTAAGACCTGCACCCTCTAAAAACAGTAGTGACAAGCTGTGTGCTTCTTCCAGGGGAAACTTCCTTTAAATTAAAATTTTAAATTCTCAGCAGCACAGTGACATTGCAAGTGGCACTGTGCCAGGGGGCTGCTCTGCAGGACACAGAAAACACTGCGTTTTTATCACTGCTGGGAGTTGTACTGGATGGCATTGCTCTGGAATCCATACTCCAGTGCCTCCAGGGAGTCCTTACAGGAAGACACAGATGTAGAATGCAAGAGATGGAGACACCATCAATACGATTATTTGATGTTTCCACTTGAGTGTCCGCAGTGGCCACAAATGGAACAGATTGTAGCCTAAATATCTCATCCTACACACAAAGCTTGATGCTCCTTTGAAACCTCACCCTATAACACATTTAGCAACTGGGAGCTCAGTTTCCTGAGACTGGATGACTTTAAAGACCCAGTCGCAGGGAAATTGCACTCCCAGTTGCTAAATAATTCAAAGCAGGAACCATGAATCTACAGGAACTTTGTGTTTTCTAACTGTTGTATTCTGCGACGGGGCTCAGAGCATTGCCAGGCTGGTCTTGTACTCTTATGCTCAAAGGACCCTGCTGCTGCACTGCTACAGCAGCTGACACCTTAGGTGTGCACCACTACGCCCAGTTCTCCCTCCCTTCCTCAGCAGGCATAAATACACTGGTACCTCCATTCATCAACTCTATTCTTTCCACAATTCTGGTCACAAACAGAGTTTGAGAAGAAACAAATCAAATTCAATGGTCAGGTTCAACACAGACCCAAGGGGAAAAGTTGATTCAGTTCTCACCCAATTACATTTGCAACCAGAATCATGCAGAGAATTGAGTTTGATTACATGAAACTAATGGTGAATATTCTACTTCTCCCTCTTGTACGCATCTTTCTCTTCATTCCTTTTGCACTGATGTAGTAAAGCTATTGCATCTGTAAAAGTCCATGTCTCCAAGCAGTTTTCATCTATGTTGCTTCTAACTACTTCCAGCAGCTCTGTATAAAGCATGTTTCTGACTTGGCCATCTCTATTTCAAATCATTCAGCTGGCTATACTATATGAGTAGGATTGATTCTAAACTCCTTAGGAAAAACATTCCTTAAAGCCATGAATTCTTAGCTTTTTCTTGTTTAGTTAATTTACAGCTATTTTTT